AAATTCATTTCACTTTATGATTTTGATAACCAATTTTACAAAATAGCTGAGTTATTAAACAAGAATTAGATAGATCCATTAGACACAACCATTAGATAAGAAACCACTAAATCTACCGGGCCACCATGCTATTTAAATTACTTCGTATTATTATTATTATTATTATTATTATCATCATCATCATCATCATCATCATCATCATCATCATCATCATCATCATCATCATCATCATCATCATCATCATCATCATCATCATCATCATCATCATCATCATCATCATCATCATCATCATCATCATCATCATCATCATCATCATCATCATCATCATCATCATCATCATCATCATCATCATCATCATCATCATCATCACCACCACCACCATCATCATCATCATCATCATCATTATCATTATCATTATTATTATTATTGTTATTGTTATTGTTATTATTATTATTAATTATTATTAATTATTATTATTATTATTATTAATATGTGTATATATACGGGGGTGCATGACCCATCACCCGCCCCATATTTAAGCGGGGAAGAAATAGTTCCCCCATCCCCATACCCGCACTGCCCCACCACCTGCCCCAGCTTCCACCCATGGGGCGTTCCCCACAGGCCCCCGCCACCATTGCCATCCTTACCCGTAACCCCTTACCCTATCCTGTTTACCCCTTACCACATGCCCCAACCTCTGCCCCACCCCGATCCCTACCTACCCCATCCCTTACCCTACCTCCTAGACCTTACCACCCTACCCCCATAACCCCGTACCCCCGTACCACATGCCCCAACCTCAGCCCCACCCCGACCCCACCCTACGTTGTCCTACCCCCGAGCCCCCACCCCACCCCCATGTGTACCCCTACCTCAACCCTAGCCCTTTACTCCATACCACATGCCTTTACCTCGACCCCACCCCTACGAGTAGGGTAGGTGTTATGGGTGTTGTAGGGGAGTAGGGGTAAAGGGTAAGGTCGTGGTAAGGATAGGGGTAGGGGTAGGGTCAAGGGTGTGAAATTGGGGTGGGGTGAGTACGGGAGGGGTAGGGGTATGGGGTATGGGTACACGTATGAGGTGACCCCTCATATTATATTATGTACTTGTGTTCATAAATGTTTGTGTGTCTATATATGTATAGGGTTATTTTAGACATTTTAATGTTAAACGGTGTTTTAAATCCTTTGAAGTAAACATGAGCTTACAACACTGCTTATTTTATGCGCCACGTATTAACGTGAGTCTTAATCTTAATAATAATAAGCACTATTTAATAACCCGTGAAGTAAATGTGTTCTAAGGGTTTATTTACTTGGATTGATTTCAGTCTCACACTAAATTAAATTTAAATAGTTCAGATTAGACTAGATTCCGAAGATGCAACAAATTCAACCAAATTGAGTATCACCATCTCTAAATCGTGGTCTTTGTTGGTATTTATATGATAATTATTATCTTACTGTCATGTATCATATCAGAGTCCATATAAGCTAAAAACTTTATTTCGGAATCCGGTTGAAAGGACATGTAGCTAATTAGTACACAATTTACTGTTTACACACTTAACAATCAATCAACAATTCTTGTTGTACACACTTTACTGTTTATACACTTTTACACGCGCGCCTGTGTGAAGACTATTTTTGTTGTGATAGACAAAAAGTTTTTTCAACTAAAGTATACAACATTAGAAAAGTGTACAAAAGGCTTTTTCATATCATTTTATATGATAATTCAACTAAAGTATATAGAGTTGCCATTTGTACACAACGTAATTGTGCGTGGACCGAGGAAAATGGAAATAGTACACAGTGTAATTGTGTGGAAATGATAGTATTAGCCGGTGTAGTAAAAATGGAATTAATATGCACATGTTCTATGAAGTAACGGCTTTGAATGCCGTTGAATGCCATCAAAGGGTCATCTTTACTCCTACGTAATACGAGTATATTAAAACTAGTAAACTACTACGTTATGCAGGAATTGGTTATTAAGTCAAATATGTCACATCAACATATCTCATTAGCAAATCAAAATCATTTTAGGATGAAAAATTAGAATAGAAGGCACTTGAAAACCCAATTTGTGTTGACAACAAAATACATATGACGAGGGAAACCAATGCTTGATATTCAAATTGATTTGGATAAAAAACAAAATCCCAATTTTTTTTCAAATTGATTTAGATAGAGAAGTGAAAAGACAGTAAGTAAGTTGGGGTATGTTTGCAGCCCATTAAAAAAAGTGTTTTTAACTTTTTTTAAGAAAAAAACACTTATTTTACCAAACACTACCAACTTTTATTTTCTCGACTTCCGTGTAGAATATACTTTTTACTTTTTCTATTACACAAAAAGCACTTATTTTATTAAACACTACCAACTTTTACTACTAATCACTTTTTCCCCAAAAATGCTTTTATTTAAGCAGAAGTGGTTGCAAACAAAGCCTTAGTGCCTATGGAATGAAGGAATAGGTGGAGACCCGGTAGAAGCGTGGTACTGGCAGCAATAGAAAAGGGGGAATGTAAAAAGCTGCGAAGGAAGAAAAAATGGTAAAATTAAGAGAAGCCCCGACGGTGTGCAGAATTTGGAGAGGGGCGAAAAGGTTGAGGCATGGAGTTCGCTCAGATCGCACGTGACTGTTGTCTGTTGAGTAAGAGGATAAATTACATCCTACACCCGGTTGTACCGTGCGCACGATACTGAGGGGCGGATCTAGATAAGAAATAGGGGACAACTGCCCCCAACAAAGCTCCAATAATAGTATAATACTGCTTAATCCTTTAAGAAAAATATTAGCGTACTCACTTGCCCCCAATTAAAATATAAAAATGTCCACAGTAAATTTACAGTTCAAAGCTCTCGGTCAACGCATAAAGAGAAAATTATTCTACTTTTCAGTTTAGGCTAATACGAAAGAGAAGTAATAGCAATTAAATGATTTAAATCCCTAAAAATAGAAGAATTAGACTGTAGATTCAAGAAGTGATACCAGAAGAACAGGGAATAGCCAATAAGCCAAATTCGAGAATAAGAAATAGATAAGTTCAGGTTTTACGTACTGTAGTGAAGTGTTGTTCGCTTGTTCATGCTAAATGTTGTTCATCCTTATTAATAAAATAATTACAGATTACCTCGTGTAACTTATCCTAATTTATAAAAAAGTTAATATAATAGTTAGTAAGGTAGTAGGTTGGCAAAGCTTGATGTCGATCTCTTATTTTTTAATTATTAGGTTTTAAGATTTTGCAGTTTCAAAGGCAGGTATGAATCTCCTTACCGATATCCGTTTGTTATATCAGTAAGTGTTAATCATTTTACTGAACATTTGATAACTAAATTTGTTGGAATAACATTTATTTCGTTCCTAAAAATAAAACCATTTGGCACTCTTTTTGGATGGTGGTTGTGGCACTCTTAGTTTCTCAATTTTTGTTAAAATATATGTAACCTGCAAAAAACATATCCAAACATTAGTTAATTTATCTGGAAATTTTTTAGCAAAAAATTTATAAACGTATCTCATTGTGCTTACCCATCCTTGTTTCATTCCCTGTCCCCATAAGTTATGCCTGCATTAATAAAATATCACTACATAGGAATGTTAGGATACCTAACAATGGAGAAAAGCCTACATTTGAATATATTTAGTAATTTCTTCTATTAATCTGGTGATTTTGGTGATAGTTAAACTTAGATAAACATTACATAAATTACTTGAATTCTATTGTTTAACTTTTCCAAACAATTTTAAACTCAAGACATACCTGTCATCATTGTAAACAACAACCGGTGTCTACCATAAGCATCAAAAGCACTAACACCACACCTCCAGTTCCATTGCCATGTCGAGTGTTGCTCTGAGGTCCGCAACTGATTAAGTGGGACATATTTATACTACAATTTTACAAATGTTTTGAATATGTAATAGAATTACCCATTGGTCAAAAGTAAGCAATTATATGATGTGATATTTTCAGACCATGTATTCGGTATTGAGTATCTCAATAAAGTAAGTTGATAAAGTAAAAAAAAAGTTAGTAAGGTAGTAGGTTAAAATTAAGTAATTAACATTATAAAATGTAAAATTAACTATAGAATATTGAAATAAAACTTTTATCCAATTCTAAAATTAATCACATAATAATGCAATTAAATTATATAATAATGAAATTAACACCTTTAGGCTAAATATTGTTAAGATATTTAGTAAAACATAATCATAAGTACATGCATTTACTGATGTTTGTTTTATAGAGATAATGCACAACGTTTGGGATGTATTGATAATGTACTTACTCGATCTCTTTTTATTTAGTCAAATTTGATGCAAGTCAAATTGATAATTTACTGATGTTAAACTTTGATTGAATATATTTTTATACATGGTAATATTGATAATAAAAAATTATATGACAATGTTTTTGGTTAAAAATATTATCATAAAAGTATCATTTTATTAACTTTCATACATAAATATATTAGTTAAAATAATGATTCAAAGTTTATTATATTTGATCGAAAAAGTCAAAGATGACTAAATAAAAAGGGACAAAGATAGTATTAGATATAAAAATAAAAACTTTAATTTTACATTTGCATTATATTTAATGGATACATTTATTTGAAAAAACTTATTGGCATTAGCTAGTTCAAGTACAAATGTGTCTAATAGTACTTGAATGCCTTAAGAATTTAATTTGGATGACAAATTTGAGTAATTCATAATCGGGTTTTGAGTTACAATTTAGTTTGTTTTATAGAAAGGGATATATTTCAAAGCGTCACAATTCACAAAAGAAACTATGATACTGTAATAAATTAGTTTCAAAAGATAAAAACTCGGGAAAAATTGATCAAGTCGATTAGTTTTTATTATTATTATATTGTAATAATACATGTAGGGAAAAACGATCTATTTGATCTAATATGTTTTATTTAATTTTTTTTCTTGAATATACTTTAATTTATGTATTACTCCGCCCCCAATAGCTTTTATTCCTGGATCCGCCACTGACGGTACTGCCGACTTTTTTTACGCTTCTGGCCCTAGCAACGGCTTCTCCGATCTTCGCCCTTGCCTCTATGCTTCTCGCACAGGACTTGGCCCCTGATTCTTCAATCTCGTTTGATTTCTTCGATCTGATCTCGCGCACCAGGGAGATTGCTCCTCTCGCCGCTCTCTTCTCCTCAAGCTCTCTTGCTGCACAACAACGCAAGAGATGGCGGCTCTTGGGATTTCTTTGTTTTGTTGGTCGGTGCTGCGAGAAGAAGAATAAGGGGACAACAAATTGAAAGATAATTTAGGAGACTGAGTTCATACTTCATGATGACTGACAATCTTGAATGAGTTTATATTAAATTCAGATGAGTATAAGCTTAAAAGGAATGAACATACACAAATGGATATTGAGCATATTAAAAAAATGAGTTTTATATTAAACTCAAATGAGTATAAAACCTAAAATGAATGAGCATATTAAAAATGAGTTTTATGTTAAACTCAAATGAGTATAAAAACGAAAATGAATGAACATACACAAATCAGGTTTTGAATTTTTTGATACTCATTTTGTAAGTTATGTATCTTATTTGGTACCTCTTTATGCTCGTTTTTAAATGTTACACATTTCAAAGGTATCATACTACATTATGTTAAACTCATAGGAGTATGTATAAGGCCAAAATGAATGAGCATACACAAATGAACTTTTGAATTTTTTGATACTCATTTTTTAAGTTGTGCATGCTTATTTGGTACCTCTTTATGCTCATTTTAAAATGTTGCTTATTTCAAACGTATCATACTATATTAGATCTACATATTGAAATTAATTGGAATTGATTACAAACATAATTTAAGAGTTTTATAAAAGAAAAATAATAATAAAAAGAAAGCGAATTAGAAGATATAAAGCAGAGAACACTGATGCTCATTTTTGGCTCTTAATGCTCAAAAGAACGGTCTGGATACTCAACAAAATTGTGTTAATGCTCATTCAAGAGAAGCCATGTTTTTCACCAAAATTGCAAAAATGCCATCGCCTGTACGGCTGGTTCTATACAGCCGGTTGTATAGTATACGCTCTCGAGTAGGAGAGACAAGATAGTGAGTAGCTCAAATGCTTAAAGTTAGGTGTGGGCATAAAATCCGAACCGGTCCGTAATGCTGCTGAACCGAATATCGAGTATTTAAGCAATTTCATATATTTTTATCCCGAATCAAAGTCGTACCGTTTGAAATGGGTATGAGACCGATCCTAGATTTTGAGTATCAAAAAATCCCAGATCATTCAAAAATAATGCATTTGACATTTTTATATTTTTTCATATCAATAAATATACTTTATAGACCAACAATTTTATAGCCCAAGTATGTATTCATATGTCCCTAAATTAGCTAAATGTTTATATATATATATATATATATATATATAGGGTGCGGTTCCAATGAGAACGATGCTTAACGTGAGAACACTCACATCTAAATAAATGTGATGCACAATGGAGCTTTTATGTTGCACATTTTCAGTTTGCTCAAATTAAGCCTATATTAAATAAACAAGGTGGCAATTTTGTAATTATTGTACTCATGATGCAGTAAAAGACACTTCATGATGCACTGAAATATGCAATCTAGCACGGTGGCATTTCTGTAAATACTTCTGAAAAATCCGTATTACACATGTCTAGTGCAACATGAAGCTATTTCGGTGCAACGCCGTCAAATATTAGTGCAACATGAAACAGTTTTATATAGAGTAATAGTTATGACAAAAAATTGTGCGACGCTCAAAAAATTGTCATATTATATAGAGTAATAGTTACAAAACTTAATTTCGTCACAGTAAAATGGTTTATTATGACAATATTATTGTTTGTCACTTTAATTCTTATATTTCGTCACTGATTGATTTCTATTATGACAATAAGATCTAATCCGTCACTTTTAAAATTTGAGCGCCAAAATTAGACGGCAAATATATGGAGGGAATTTTTTTGTCACATTTTTCAAACAATTAATGACGATAATTTGTGTCGCATATTTTTTAAATATTACGACAATATCATATTTTGTCATTATTTTTTTTGTAAAATAATGACAATATTATTTTGTCATTGATGTTACCTTTTGATGACGATGAACTTAAATGTGTCATATTTTCAAGCGAAAAAAAGAGCAAAATTTATAGATGAAAATGTATTCTTAGCCGATAATTTCATTGTCATATCTTTTCTATTATTCCGTAATTTATTTAAAATGAAAGAATCAAATCTAATTCATACAATTTTACTTTATTAATTTTCGTGCCGATCAAACTTGACCCAATTTTAAGGGAAGAGAAATATAGTTACAAATTTCAAAGAGAGATTTGTTCTCATCGATTTTAGTGGCGGATTGAATTTCGATTAATTTTTGCCAGCGAATAATGATTGAATTAGTTCAATCACTAAAATTCATCACCAAAGCACAAAATAAGTACTGGTTCAAAATTTTCGGGCAAGCGGCAAACCTAAAAAATACTCCGTAAGTACTTGAACAAAAATTTCACTCCCTCCATATATTCAATTTTTTAGAATTTCCTCCGCTTAAACCAAAATTCCCAGAAACACTCACAAGTCACAAACCCAACTCATTCACAAACCCTACATATTTCCGTGTTTTGCTTCAATTTTACGCAGCCGGAGAATTTCTATCGTCATCAACCAGCCAATCGATTGATTCAATTCCGCCACTAGGGCATGAAGACGGAACACAACAAGAGGTGAGCGGCGATTCTGCGATTGGGTTGTTATTTGCACAGCAGAACCTAAGCTAGCACTTGGAACTACATCGATTAATCAGCGGCGGAAACAGAGATATCGTTGAGGCAGTGAGGCCTCACAGTCTGAGGGGGTTTGAGGTTGGTCTCCTGGTCACTGGTCTTCTAGCTTGAATTCGTGCGGCAACAGGGAAGTCCTTCGTCGCACCTCCACCACTATTAGTAATCAATTTCTAGGTCCATTCATATACATACTTTTATCTTTTCTTAGTCATACTCTGTTTTTTGTTGTTCGGTCTATGCAGTTAAGCTTTTAGTTAATAGTAGAATATAATTAGGGTTCTAGAAATAATCTTTTTTATAATGTTTAATTTTCGTGTTTTTTAAAGGTTTACTGCTAAGTCAACAAAATGAAAACCTTATTTATGTTTGATTCTCTTGTATTCAAAATATAACTTGACATTCTGATGTTGTTTGAAGAAAAACTAATATACACATGTAAACCATGTTTGTAATTTTCTCATCAACCAAAACTTTATTCAAAAGGTTTATTAAAATGATCAATTAATATATAGATAAATAAAATCACACTATGTTTATCTTTACTATGTAGTATTACAAAAAAGGATTATGAAAATCATAAATCAAATACGTGAGTTTCTTTATCATAGTATTTATGATTGCCTAATATGTCAATGGAAATATGAGAAAAGTTTATTCATATTGTACTGTATCTACTTATGTTTTGTTTTAATACATATGCTGCCTTTGAAAATGTAGAAAATTTTCTTCGGTTGTAAATTCTAAAGCCCTAGCATACTGGTATGTCCTTGTAGTCTATGTATCCTCTTGAGCTTTATCTTCACCTAGTTATACTGACATGTGAACAGGATGTGATCCATCTTTATGCGAGCTTCTGATAGAAGCAAACTTATCCTAATGCCATTATATCCATGCACATGCTATAGTTACTAGAGATATCTGGCTGCACTTTTTGAACCTATAAGTTGCTAGCCTTATAGTGTGTAAAGCCTGATGCTAAGCTGCAACATTTCCATGTGAAAATTACCTAATAGTAATAAAACAAAATTCTCAAGAAACATTGAATTCTGGAAAAGTTAAAAGACGATGAGAAATGATATAGGCTTGCAATGTTTTGTGAACTTAGATGATATAATTGCGAAATGTCATGCTTTGTCTTCTAGTTCAGTGAATGAGAAATTATTAATTAATTTATATTTGGTAGCAAGATATCTGATTCTTCTTACTTTTTATGTTGCTTTGTAAAGTATCAAGGCTTCTTTGGTGCTCACCTTTTCTTTAATGCAGCTAACACCTGGAACTGATGTTGCTAAACTCATGTTTGTTTGTTTTCTTTGTTTTGTTTTCTTTGTTTTGTACTGTAATTTAGAAATGGAAGGATTCCTTTTCTTAAGATAAATATTGTAATTACATCTTGTATTCTTTCAACTCAGTGGATTGTTATTTGACATAGTGAAAAGGTATGAGATGCTTTGACATGTATTTTTTCCCTTATTTTTCTTGTTCAAGACCTTTAATCATCTGCAATATCATTATGAACTACATTTTATACTCCGTATTTGATAACTTGTTAAAAGTTTTGATGATTTCATAATATTTTACACTTCTTTACAATGCTAATTTGTTTAGCCATGGAAGGCAGAAATTGTATTCTCAGCTATTGCAGTTGGGCTTTGGAAGTCTTCAATTCGAGTGACCTCTGCCAGTCAAGAAGATGAACCGAGAAAGACTTCAATTTTTCGGTATTAAGGAGCTTGAGTGTGTTACCTTCCAGCTTAGAAGGACGGTTGTCATCTCAACTAGGCTTCTTTTAAATTAAAGTTGTTTGCACTTCACTATGTTGTACTAATTCTTGCAGAAGGTTGTAAAATGATTTGCATGGTTATAAAAACCATCTTTAATTTTTTGTAATTTACATTGTTTGTAAAGTAGGTGTTTTAGACTACTTGGGCTCCAAACTCCAAAGACAGGTTATGAAATAGCAGTAATGATATTCATGTGCCTTACAGATTTGCATTCACCTAGTTACAATGACATATTTGTTGCTAGTTATGTGGCGATGTAGATAATTGTGATACATTTTAATTATATGAGTATCTATTTAAAGGGGAAAAGTTTTTGTACAATGATGGCAACTAATCCTATCACGTTGTACAATATTTTATTGACTTTCTTTTGTTGACGAAACATTTAATTGTCATTGTTATAAACCTTATATATGTCTCTAATAATGACGAAATGAGTAATATAAATGTGACAATTTTTTTTGTCTCAATAGTTAATTGATTTTGGGCGTATTATTCAATTGTCACTATATGTTACGTTTGATGACAATTAAAAAAGTTGTCACTTATTGCATTAGCTATTGATGACGAAATTCATATTTAGATGACAAAAATAATGATATAAAAGTGACAAATTTGGCGTCATTAAAAGTGATAAATAAGCGTGACAAAGAGCAAAAGTGTCACAAATAGTTATTATATAATGACGAATTTAAAAAGTGTCAAGTTATACTTTTTACCACGGAGCTACAATGACGATCCTTGTGACGATCATAACTCATCATCTAAAAGTTTTGATGACAAAATTTGAAGTTTATATGACAACTTTTTTTGTCATATTTTGTCAAAATTCTTGTAGTGTTAGTGCAACATGTGCATAATTTAAATATTACTGCAACATAAAGCCAATTTTAGTGCAACTTCGTAAATCCAATGGCTGAGATTCATTCTCATTTCTCACATTAGATGCATTTCTCACCTGAACCAAAAAATATATATATATAGGTGTTGAGGTTTATTCCCGAAGATCCGAAAGCCCAACACAAGCCTTGGATATTATAGGGATATTGGGTAGGGTTGATTGAAATGTGTGTAAAATATAAAATAGTGAAATGATATCCAACTCAAGAACTTACTTATATTCTGTAATTAAGCA